AGCAAAGAACGAGGAACGAGAGTCAAAGACCGCGCAAAAAATGGCGCAAGTATGGAAGACCGAGGAACGGGATTCTCGGTTTTGGCCGCGCCAGAGATGAAACGAGGGCCATTTTTCGCGCGATCTTTGACTCTTGTTCCTCATTCTTTGCTTCTGAACTGCACAAAAACGATTGCTACGTAGGCTGGGGTTGGACCTCGGGGCGAAACCTCTTCGTATAAGACTTTATGGAGTAGGCTGCCCCGTCTCCCTGGGAGGGTACTTCTTGTTAGGTGTGAGCAGGATTTCTTGCCGGAGTTTTCATTGTCTTCGCAGCTTCCCTCTCTCACTCTCGGCCAGGCATCAAAGCCCTTGCTGGCACAGTTTATGTATCACTGAAATTTTTCCATACAAAAAGGAGGCAAATTCCCGTATTTCAACAAAACAACCAAACCAACAAACAAAACAGCTTTCGTTCACAATTTTTCTTTACTGAACAACTGAACGTACTACCTGTACTACGGTCTTCTAAAACCATTCAATTGTCGTTTCTTTATAGGGGTAATTGTAGCCATTGGTAAGAGCTTAATTACCATGCGGTCAATCTGCGGCTTTCTTTTCCTTCAAGCTGTGTTCATTGGTTTTGCCCAACACACCAAAGTAACTGCGACGAGGCATTGCCCCACGTTTACTTCTTGTATTGACAGCTATGCTGACATTTATAAATCCCTAGCATCAGAGGAGAACAGTTTCAACATTGAATCAGCTCTTTATCCATCAATGATGCCATCATCACTTGTAGTTAAAGTAGAGTTCATTACACACAATGAAACATCAGTGGCAATTTACACTTGGAGTTTAAACTGTTTATATGTTGCTATTCCTCCTCAAGTCCTCCAACTCCTGTCGCTTGGCTCAGTTCTTGTTGAACCACGCACACAAGAGCTGAAAATCTGCATCCCCTATTTCTGTAGAAATTTTTCATCCACCAAGGAACAAAACGACCTGATGAAAGGTGTTCTCGCTGCGGTACGTAATTTCACATTTAGTGTTTGTCATATACCAACATAGTGTATCATATACCAACAAATTTGTAAAAAAACGTTTTTTGGCTAAATGGATTTTCTAATAGACATCTGCATTGATGACCACTGATAATTCCGTCCTGTCTGTACACGAACAAATCTTCGCCGGAGATATAATCACTTACGCCACCAGTAGTTGTCACAATGTTTTTAACTTCAGTTCCTTTCAACACTTCTGCAAAGGCGAGGTTTGCGATTTGTAGCGTACTGCAGAAGTGGCAGTAAAACTTTCGAGATCTGTACAGCCCTTACAGCTGTAGAAGGCACAAGTGTAATAATTGGACTGATTGGACCCAAGTGTAATAGAGGTCCCATCTGTAATAACATTTTGAACCCAAGCGTAATAAAGGTCGTATCTGTAATAACATTTGGACCGTCTTCAGCTTGTCTTACTTTGCTTATAATCAGCGCGACATTTTGGAGCTCTTACATTGAAATTCTCACCTGACACCATTACGACCCAAAAGATCAGAAAGATGGCCAATTTGCAAAATATTGTCACGCGCCTCTGTATCATTGTTCTCAGCTAGTCTTATGGTGCTTATCATAAAGCGATATTTTGGAGCTCTTCAAAGATAGTGAGAGAAACCTCCGAATAAAGATAACATAAGAATTTTAACGTTGTAACTAGTAATAGCCAAAGGTTACGGCGGTACGGGCGATAACGATCGAAGGTTTTGCTCCAGCGCTGTGCTTGCGTACGTTTCACGTGACAGATGGTCAAAACACGCGTGGTAAGATTACGAGTAATAGAAGGTCCAAACGCACGTGATCAAATTGTGTTCTGTACATTCCATTCATTCTTTATAGTGGAAAACCAAACGAAAGCTGACTACATACATGCGATGCGTAGGTAATAACAACCTTGACATTAGGATTGCGGGCTCCTCTTGTCGCCCGCAACAGCAAAAAACACTCTCGTAAGAACGCAGTAAAGCAGTACTTAGCACATATTTTCTTTGGTTAATAGTTCTAAGTGACAATGGCCTTTTTTTTAATGGCCAGTTCCGTTTATCTAATAGTAAATACTTTTCTAGCCAAACTACTACGTCAGGAGCGGCTCCTTACTACGTGTAAAATTCAGTTTGACAGTGACGTGAAAGCCATGGCCATAAAATTAAATGGCAGAAGTTGGTTTCCGCAGGTCACGTGATTTTACACTCTTTACCCCTTATTGGCCATAATTTGTTGTTGGTATATTACCAGTTTGAGTATAAAGGTAAACTTTTACAAATACGGCCTTTATTACACTTGAGTCCAAATGTTATTACAGATAGGACCTTTATTACGCTTGGGCTCAAAATGTTATTACGGATGAGACTTTTATTACGCTTGGGTCCAAATGTTATTACATATGGGACCTTTATTACACTTGGGTCCAACTATTACACTTGTGCCTTCTAGCCCCCGAAATGATCCCCAACCTTGAAATGATCCCCAAATCGACCCGAAATGATACCGACCCCGAAATGGTCTCCATTTCTCTTCACGTTGACCCCGAAATGATCCCCAATTAATTCTTGGAATGGAACTTGTATTCCGTCGTGGAATTATTACAAATCTGTTGCAGCGTTTACGTTCTTAAATCGCGTTTAACATTTCGCTTCAAATTGAAAACGTTACAGTCAAGAACAGTATTTTTCCTTCTTCCCGTCCCATGAGACCCCGCGCGCGCCTCAACCTAATCCCCAATCGTCTCATCCCAAAAAACACTAGATAACTAACCACGTCATATTATGTAATTTCCGGTCATTATTTTACTTCATATATATTTCTGTAAATTCGTGATATCTCAATAAACCTGATGAAGACTGGTATTGGCC